AAAAAGTGCAAAACAGCGAGCTTTATTCGTTTGTAACTTCTTCGCGTGGGATCTAAAATTATTTGCGTCAAAAAAAATTATAAAAATTTACTAGGTTAAACATATTTTTAAAATTAGGAGCTTACCCATTTGAAAGTTTCGAATCGTTAGGTAACAACAGGCTATCAAACGCGAGTTCTGCTAGCCGTCTAAGAATTGGAGAATCCGCATAATAATTACTGAGTATTTGTAGATTTTCGTTCGCATATAGATCGTATTCGTTTTTAAGCCTTTGTGTTGCTGAAGCAAAAAAATAAAATTGATAAATAAACTCGTCCTTAATAGACAAATATATTACTTTGTTTCCACAACATCACGTGACTAACCAATATTGGCAGCAAAAAAAACTGACCACATAGATAGTCCAAATCAATGCCTTAAGAAAAGGGCTAATTCTGGCCATGTGACTATACAACCAAAATAGAGATACTGTAAAGATGCAAACCGTTTCATAGCTGATACGGTCGCATCAATAAAAATCAGATAAATAATTACCATAAGGAAGATTTGAAATATGGTGCTCAATTAAATGTAAAATCCACTAGAAAAAAACGTAAAATTTGATTATATATGAAAAAAAAGAAATTAATGGGTCAAAAGTGTGAATGCATTAGTGGTAAAATTGAAAATGAGCATTGGGAAAGCAACGAATAGGAAAAAGATCAAGAACTCACATCGAATAGGTTTTGACTATGAAAATAGTCTTGCTCACGTGCTCTGAGGCGCAGTACATCTAACTCACGAACACAACCGTCGTATTTTTTTCTCGCTTGTATAACGTCACCATTACGGCCATTAAAAGTTTGTGAAGATCGCAACATCACCGGGTCGCCAGCATAACTGGAGGCGATTGTGTTTGCTAAGTTTATGAGATCTTGAGAAAGATCCGAGCCATTAATTTGAACGTACCCCTCCATAATAGCGGTGGGATTAGGTAAAAAGTTCAAACGGTAACAAAAACTTAAAATCAACGTAAATCAACATTATTTATAATAATTTGATAATGATCACGTGCACTTGTACATGCCTCTACAA